TATATATATATTCTTGAACATTTATGAGATATAATTGAGAAAAATAATTGTTACAGAGACTATGTGTCACTAAAACTATGTCAGATGGGAAAACCTCATAATTCACAATATAAAGGGTAGAATACTTATATATGTTTGGTTAGTAGTGTTTATCACTAGACAGAGTACTGCTTTTCTTATGGCTAATAAACCTAAAAATTCCACAAGATTTGAATAAATTCCAACAAGATGAACTTTGTCTCAGTAAAAATCAAGACTATTTATAGAAATCAGAATAATTCAAAATTTAATATCTTAAGATAACAATTTCTGACAGCTAATAAAAAATTACCACACAAGAAAAGAAATAGGAAAAATACAAACCACAATGACAAAAACTAACCTATAACTGAGACGAATGTTAGGCTTATCATAAAACAACACTAAATCATTTCACTTCTTTCAGCATTTTAAGGGAAAATTATGAAATATAAAAATATCAGTCATCTTTCTGTTACTATATTAAATACAGAGATAATTAATTTATAAACAGAAAAAAGTTGTTATATCTCACAGCTTTGGAGGTTTTACTTATTACTTGGTCCATTCTTCTGAGCCTGGGGTGAGGCAGCACATCATGGCAAGAGCATATGGTGAAGCCAAAATGACTCACATAATTCTAAGAACAAAAGAAGAAGGGACCACAGTTCTACAATCCTTCATATGACATGCCATCAGTCAGCTAAAAATCTCCCATAAGCTTTCATCTCTCAAATTTCTGCAACCTCCCAATCTATATACCAATCTGGTTACCAAGACTTTAACACTGGCCACTGGGGGAAACTCGTCTAAACTATAGCAGATATTAAAGGAATCCCAAATGAATCTTCTGGAAATGAAAACTATAATGTTTGAAACAGAAAAGAAGTGAATTAGCGGCAGATAATTTTAATAATTGCAGAAAATTGCAGAAGATAAGAGTGGTAGAATTGAGGATATAACAGTATACATGATCCAAAATGAAACAAAGAACAAAAGAATTTAAAAACAAACAAAAACTGATCATATATGGCTTAGGTGGAATCTCAGCAGTGGAATATTTTTCTAACATTCACTAGCAGCAGAGTTTAATCCCAGTGCAACAATAAAACAAAACAAAACCACAGTGTAAACAGCTGTGCTAGAATTTTTAGCAGCCTAAACTATTTATTGTCCATGGAATGAAAAGAAAAAAAAAAACAGTCAGGAATAAAAGTATTTACAGCACTAACCTATTTTTTTTCAAAATTTGATAACGTATAAACAGGTATAAACATTTTAATGAAATCAAAACACAAGAAAACTAAAACAAAGAAAACTATAATAAAATTGCCTGTAGTTATCAACAAAGTGATACTTTTCCATGTAGTCATACAGATAGATGTCTTTGTGCCCTGGAACAAAGACAAAGATAACAGATTTCTTCATATCCATGTAAAGGAAAACTATGTAGGAATGGAAGGAATAAACTATCAATTCATACTACAGCATGGATGAATCTCAAAATGTTGACATTGAGTGAAAAATCTAGACAGTAAATAATTATACACTTGGGCTGGGGATTTAGCTCAGTGATGCCTGCCTCACAAGCACAAGGTCCCGAGTTCCATCCCCAGTAACAAAAATAAAATAATAATAATAATAATATACTTCATGTTTTATCTACATAATTTCTAAAATTGAAACCTTACCTGTAGTGGCGCAAAGTTGTTTAGTGATTCCCTAGGGATGGAGAAGTTGGTGGGCTGGAGGGAATAATTCAAATGGTCCTAGGGAAATTTCTCAAATTATGGATGTTTTATTATCTTGATTTACTAATGTTTTCATAATCTTATCAAACTTTGTAGTTAAGAATATGTAATTCACTGCATTTAAATTATTATACAATAAAGCTGCTGAAGGTGAAATGGTTGTATTTAATGGTGGAAAATATCACCTCAAAGCACTTTACATATACATGTAGTATATGCAAAAGTGATTAAACTTGCCATAATCATTACAGGAACACAGAAGCAGTATATAATGTAACACTTCATACACATCACCTTCCAGTGAAACATTAATACAATTTTATCTGATAATTGGTAAATTTTATTATGGCTATTAACAAAAGTGGGAGGGGTAGGGGAAAGGAAAAATACGAGAAAAGGAAAAATGGAAACAAATTCTGTAAATATGGATGGAAGGCTGGGTTGAAGGGAGGGCAGGGGAAAGGGGAAAATAATAACAAAGATATATCACGTAAAGCTACAAATTCCCAATGATTAATGTCACCAAATTGTATACCTAAAATGAACCAATAAACTTAATGAATTAAAAAAATCTCAATTTTGTTTGTTCATTCATAGGTGTGTGGATGATTTTTCTAAAGCTTAACTTGTTTCAATATGTTGCTTAAAATCTACCAAGGATCCATTGCTGTTTACTTTAAATGTTGTGTTTTCATTCAATCAAAAAATACTCCCATATCTGAATCAACTTATCTGTATAGGTTTATTCATTCCTATACTTTCCTTACATATACTTATACCTCCTTAAAAGCTGCAAATATTTGTTTTCTGTGCTCAGAATATTTCTAATTTTTATATACTTTTTGAGAGCTCACCACTCTCGAAATTCAAATTAAATACCATCATCCATCATCACTAAGAAGCATTGTTTGTTCATTCAAGTGACAAATATCTTCTATTCTTGGGATGCATTGTGCTTCCTTGCCTTAGCATGTTTTTAATTTTGGCTAAAGTATATCTGAAAACATACCAGTCAAAACAGAACTTTCCATATGTTAGACAATTATATATTTTATTGTAATGTTGGATGTGAACTTCACACAGATATTAATAGCCTTAATTAATGTTGTAGTTCTCATACAAAAATTGTTCCCTAGACTCCAAAAGGCAGAATGTTTTAATAGAAGCCCTATTATATTTCTTCTTCAGCTACTAAATTCACATTGTAAAAAATCCACTTCTGGGCTTAGGAGATAGAAGCAGCAGTTAATCTGCAGATCTGAAGACCAGTTGAGTTTCCTATATTTCCCAAATCAATATAAAACTGCATGTTAATTTATGAAAAACTTCAGCTATATAGTTCTTTGATGAAGTCAATAAATCCAAAGTCTTAAATAATTCTAGACAGGCATTGATTGACAGTTTTAAATTTTTGGTATCTTTGTTCAAGTGTGAAATACACAACTATCACAAGTAGGCCAGCAAAGAGGACCATCCTTATCACATGTATTCTTCATAGATGAATCAGAGTACAAGAAGCAATGTGATAGCTAGAAGAACTTATAGGGAGTCAGAGTGCATTGCATTTGTGCTTACAATGCCACATTCCATCTAACATGCTTTCAGGAATATAGTTTTTAATCCCTACAAATTCAGTAGAGACAAAAAGTACAACCTAGCTCACCTTTGCTTATAGGACTCATCTCCTTTTCATCTACCTACCTATAATCTTAGGGGAAAGTCCACATGATTCTTTTAGGGCTCCTAAATTCCATGATGGGATTTTAAACTGCAGGTTGAGAATAATAAAATATAATTATTTGCTTTTTTGGGTACTTTTAAGGTTTTGTGCTTCATAGTGAAACTGATAGAGAACAAAGTGAAAGTAAATATCTTAAAGTTTAATGCCTTGAAATAATCATATCACTTGAAATTTGTCTAATTCTATAAACTTGGCATTCATTTTATACAATTTCACTTGATCATCATAAGATCATAATGGCTTTATGTCACTAAGTGAATTATTATTTTGCTCATTTAGCAAATGTTCTGAGACAGACCTTTAATTAATTTTGGGGATACACTTCTGAAAATATAGTCCCATAAGGAAACTAACAAGTGACACACAAAAATTATGACAATTATGTGAAAAATGAAATAAAGTTTCAGAAGGAAAAAGTAACAAGAAAGAATTGTTTTATGTAAGGAAGTCACAGAACATCTTCTTGATCAGATTACAAGATGAGATATGATAGAGCTAGCCATATAAATTGTTGAGAGACATTGACTTTAAATCTGGAAAACACATTAGGTATGTTCAGATGTTAGAAGAAATTTTTGAGAATGATAATTAATATTTGGTAGTTCTTTCTAAAGTATTTTGCAAGTATAATTTCATTTAATAATCATGATGTGAAGTGGAAAATCTGGAGAATGATTGACACGTAGAAAAATTTTCATCCTCCTTTTGACTGAGAATATTATTAATCATGAAGGAGAAAAAAAGCTAAGATTAAGCAAGAGACATTCTGAGTGGCATGTGAATTGTTTGTAGGTAAAATATTCTCTAAGATACCCCATTTTAACATTGTTGAGAATGAAAGCACCCTTCAAATATTCAGAACATATAATTAGATGCTTATCATTTACTTTCATTGAGCACACACACTGTTCAGAGATTTATACAGAGTACTTTTAAATGAAAAATGACTGCACAGAGAAGTGAGTTAAATTTTAAGGAATTCTAAAACTCTTTTAGTGGCATCTCGGTATACAAGCACACATATATAAACGCCTCTATGTACACATGTGTATCTTTTAAAATTGTTATAATAAATATGTACAGCATATAGATAAATGTGTGGAAATGTATTGATTTCATTTATAGTAACTTTCAAATGTATGTATAAATGGTCAATCTAAATATGTTTTAATTCGGATAGCCTAAAATCAAATGTCTTTCTATCTGGTACAAATGAGACTCATAAGCATACCTAAAGTGTTGCTAATTAAATTGGAGGATCATCACTGTGTATGTACTGAGTTGTATTTCGATGGGAGAAAAAAGCTCTAGGGTACTATTTTCATTATGAAGATTATAGGTAACAGTAATGTGCTGTGCATTGCAAAAATCTAGGCAAAAAGATTATGAAAGATTTTTTCATAAAGAAATGATACATTTTGAGGATATGAAGTTTACGCTGATGTAAACTTTATTCAATTGATTTATATATCTAATATTAGGTAGTAGCCCATTGATTTATAAAGCCTTTATTATTTTATGTACCAGTATAAAATATATAGAGAAATTGACAGATTTTGGGAGGAACTCTGATGAAAACAAACCATCGCAACACAGGTAATTGCATATGGAATTCCTGAAACATCACATTGTGTACTTTTTTGGAATAATTTATGCACATAATTAGATTTTTCAAATTAGATTATATTGTCTTCGATAAAATTTTATTTATTCAATGTTTAAATATAGAAAAATACATGAAACTGCTTGTTTTAGTATATCTATTTCTTGGAAGTTCTTTTTAATAATATCCTTATTTATACTCTTCATATATCATAGCCTTCTCTCCATATTAGCAACCAGAGTGGTCCTTTTGACGCATAATGACCCGAGAGAAACAATGTGATATTGAAAGTGTTACTATGGACTAAAATGTATAAAATTCAAATGGCAAGAGGCACAGTGGAGGAGGGAAAAGGAAGGGAAAAGAAAAATGAGAAAAGGAAGGTAAAATGAAAATAAAGTTCTTGTAAGTGAGGAGAAGAGGAGTTGAAGGGAAGGGAGGAGAATGAGACAAAAGAAGAATCAAGATACATCATGTACAGGTACAAATTCCATATGATGAATGTGGTTGTTATGTAGATCAAAATCATATCAATAAAATTAATTTATAATAAAAACAATGACTCATAAGTAGATGGTTAAAGAATCCCTCGTACACCTATGTGTAGTGACACTAATTATGACTGGTTAACTTAAGTTGTTACTGTACTTTACAATTCTAAAACTCAAAACGCTGCACCGACACCCAGCTTGCTTAGAATCAAAACTAAATTGACTTAGAGGCCCATGATACCACTAAATTTGGCCCTTTGCCTACTCATTTTATTTCCTCACACTTGCTGCTTGTGCACCCTTCTGCAGCTTCTATGAGAAGCTGGCATTGGTAGATCACAACAAGAGTATAGGAGAATGTAATATTGATTATGCCCAAAGTGGGCCATAAGCAGTGCTGGATACAAAGAGTTAACCCCGCAATTGGCTTGTTTTGAGAAACAATTCCAGCCAAGGCCTACATGCCAGGTTAGAGTAACTCACACCCAAATTCTGTTCCCACAATTAAAACCTTACTAGAAGGACAATTTTTTTTAAGAGTAGGAAGGATTAACTGAGAAATTCTGTCTTGAGAGAACTTCTGTCTAAGAGAGACAGAAGAGGGACTATAAAATGGGTTTCCCCTACAAGAACAATTTTTAATTGCCACCATGTATTTTGTCTATTCTCTTCCTAATTCAAGAATACTTTGTCTTGTGTTCTACAAGTCTTGCTTACATTAATTTCTGTAGACACTGTACAACTGCATGTCTTCACATGTAGTCCTGTCCTTGCCTGACCTTTACCTCAATTGATCATTAATAAAAATCAGTGGCATGGGCTCGCCAGCACCTTTGTCAGCTGTACCAGCATTAGTAGTTCTGGCACACAGCTTTCTGTCTCTCTTAGTTCCGTCTTATTTTTTTTCCCCCTCAGGTCTGGTCATAAGAAAACTGGAGCCTACTCCAGAGGTTTCCAGTAACATTTCAGAGGTCCCCAGTACAGAAGTGTTCCTATCTTTCTCTCTCAACATTACTGAGCTTGTCCTTTCCACCTAAAGAATTCTTGCTTTAAATACACATGTGATTTGCTTCTTTTCCTTTAGGATTGTGGTCACACATCACCTTGTCAGAAATGTCTTTATTTCATCACTCTTTAAAAATGGAACACACTCTTTCCAGTTCCCCCTAGTTTTCT